ATGAGTGAAAATAGTTGCTACACAGAGATCACCAAGGATCTTTGCCAGAATGGGCAGAGAAAGTCTTCTCCTAGAGTTAGTGCCCTGAATTCGGATTTCGTGGCACCATAGGATAAGCACTAGTTGGCAGTTCCAACCTACCAGCTGCATTGAGGGAGAAACGACTGTCTGATCTATAAAGACCTATAGCCTCAGAAGCCCTATGTTAAGAGGCTTCAAGTTGGTTCTGACTCATAGTAACCCTGTATCGAACGTTTCTGAAGACAAACTGGTGGGTTTGAACTGCTGACTTTGTGACCACACTAGGAGTCCAGAAACCCTACATGATGCTTAACCTCTCCTATTTTGTTTTGGATACCTGGTGTGGTGCTGTAGGATCAGCACTGGACTGCTAACCACGAAGTTGGTGGTTCAAACCCACCAACCGCTCCTTGGAAACCCTATCCAGGGTTGCCAAGAGTTGGAACTGATTCGATGACACTTAACAAACATATGATAGCAGCTCTAGGGTTAAGTGCCATCGAGTCAGTTCCAACTCACAGCAACCCTGGACGTGCAGCTCGTGTGGGTTTGAACCACCAACCTCATGGTTAGTGGTCCAGTGCTGATCCTATGCCAGGACTCTAAATGTAAAATAGGAGCGTTAAGAAATTAAGGTCACGCAAAAGGGTAAACACCTTGTTAGCAATTTCCCACTCATTCCACAACAGGTTTTCAGGGTTTTGATCCCATCTTCACACACTTGATCTCCATCAGACACCCCTAGGCACAAACAGTTAAACACTCAACAACTAGCTCAAAAGTTGACATTTCAAATCCATCCAGTTCAAACCCACCCAGAAGTACATCACAAGCCAGGACTTGACAATTTGCTTCTGAAAACAGGTAGCCTTGAAAACCCTGCAGAGTTCAGTTCTATTCTGCACCCACAGGGTGGTCATGAGTTGAAATCGACTTGCCAGCAACTAACAAATCTTGTGTTCTGCAGGCTGACGTATCTTGCTGTTGATACCGTATTTGAAGAGTTGTTCAAATTCATCATTCAGAGCCTGAACCTGATGCACTTGAATCTGACCTGTGTGATTATTTCCACGAAGATGTCCTCACTTCTATTTGACGTCTTCACCAATCCAATGAGCAACGTACACCATCTAAGGTTGTACCAGTGCTGTCGGAATATTAAGTGTGTTTTGGGGGAAGGGCTGGGCCTTGGTGTGGTCACCAGTAGCCAGGCGCCATCCAGTCCGTTCCAATGTATGGTACCCCACGTGTGTCCATGTATGGTACCCCACGTGTGTCCATGTATGGTACCCCACGTGTGTCCATGTATGGTACCCCACGTGTGTCCATGTATGGTACCTCGTGTGTATCAAGAGTAGACCGACGTTTTGTAGGGTTATCAATGACTGGGCTTCTGGAAGTACGTATGGGTAGATTCAAACCCTCCAGTCTTTGGTTAGAAGGTGAGCACATTACTGTTG